AGTCCTCGAGCTACCTCCGAGTTAGTTCCGAGTTAGCCAGCAACCAGTCAGTTGTATTCTGGCATTTGGAGTATAGTATTTGTGATACTGCAGATAGCAGTAATTGTGAATCTGTAATTTGGGTGATTGTAAGTGCGAATGTGAAATAAAATTCGCTATATCAAATACGGCGTGAAGTTATTTGTCGCGTTATACGCCCAATACGCTCAACATGTCACAATATAATTAGTCTGATGTTAGTAAATCCTGTCACTAGATGCTACGTAATATGTGCAGTGTGACGTCAATTACAATTCATGTCCGACCACACACGGAGAAACAAACGTTTCGGGTTACTCGGACAATGATCTAGGAGTGAAAAATATAGTTATTTAACGTGAAATTAGGAAATTTTACATATTTCCATATCTTCGAAAAATACCCATTTTTTTTAAAAGTATCTTTCTGTCCGAATGTAAACTATAACAGAACGATGGCTAAAATTCTTATTGAATTTTAGAATTTATGCCAATAATTAACGAAAAACTGGATGTAATTAATTCATATGAAATTCTGTATGGAATTATGCAGGTTCCGTAAAATCCCATTTTATGTGTTAACAATTTCAAATTCCAAATTTTGAGTCTGGAAAATTTAAGATATCGGAATTTGTATTAGGGAAAATTATTCAGAGAATTTATAGACTTCAATCATTAACCGGCAGTTTACGTTCATGTCGCGATATCATTAAATGATGCATTTGAAAGGAAATATACACCCCAGATTATTTCCAGAACTTCCTGCTTTTCCAGTAAATTATCATACCTTATGCAAGTCTTTCGAATTACAATAAGATTGTTCCTTGATGGGGAAGGAGATGCCTTTAATGTCGTTGCGGAAGAAGCAAATCGGAACACTTGCACCCCATCTGTGTTACAGGGCTGTCCGACTCCATAACACTAAGGGGCCACATAGTATCCTGGGTACCTACCCACGGACCATATTATAAAAATGTTTTGGCATACCGATGGCAACATGTGCCCTACATTTGTAGGAAAAGAACTGGATGCCAGAGTTAAAAAATATTAATTTAAACTAAAGTTTCGAGGTAAACAATGCTTAAATTTTAGCAGCTAGAGGTTTTTACTAGTTTGTATCGATACAGCACAGGATTAGGGAGTCATGCTAATTCCATAGTTTTCTGAATTATTTATTAGGTGTGTGGAATCAGTTGAATCATTATATAAAATATTCACTGCGAAATTTTCACACACAAAAAAAAACGCGCACGTTTTGGGAAATTGAAAAATGCTGTCGTTGGTCCCTCAAAACCAAATGGATTATAGCGAACTGGACAACCCCTGGTGAACATATAATTACCAACGGCCTTGATTAAGGTTTATGAAGATTACTTAAAATAGGAGATATGACATGCAACTTTGCGGAAGCCAGCTATGTCTAATTTCAACAATAGGTGTGGAAGTGTTCATGGCATAGAATCTCAAAATCTATCAAACTGCGACCCAATCTAAAAGAACGCATCAATTTACGCGACCCTGCTTGATATAAAAGAGCGAGAACGTGAACAGATTTACAAACACTCTGTGTTTATCTTAAGTAATAAAATGCTTCTGTACAGTCACGGTCAAATCGCCATATGTATCACTTTCTGCGGCTATTTTCCCGAAATTCCTTTTATTAAAACTTACCGACTGACTTGTCAAAATTTTGCATGGTTACAACTGTATCTTAAATACGTCCTGAAGTCTCGTCGACCCCATTTAGAGCAGGTTGCGACCACAAGGAAGGTGGAATTTGAGAAAAATAATTCATGGAATATATAGAATATTCAGTTTATGACCCAATAAAACTATAATTTATTATGAGTCCTTGATATATATGTTTTTACAACAAAATCTCCCGGGAATGGTTTATAGGATATATAGAAAATTCTATTTATTGCCTTATATTGCATAAACTAGGCTTTATTGTAGGTCAGTATGGCTGAAAGTCAGAACTATCAAAAGTCATTTGGTAAAATTCTCCCATTTCAAAATTCAGTAATCTGTTTGAAATGTGGCCGCGCCATAGCACAAGCTGTTAGTCGCTGGCTTCCCACCGCCGCGGTCTGGGTTCAAACTCGGGTCTGGGTAAGTGGGATTTGTGGTGGACAAAGTGGTGCTGATGTAGGTTTTCTCCGACTACTTCGGTTTCCCCTGCCAATCTTCATTCTACCAAATTCTCCATCATCATAATCACCCGGGGCAGGTACAATAGCCCAATCAGTAGCCCCAGTGCCGAGTGGATCCAACTGGACTCCCCCCCCATGCGAAATTTAACCTGTTTGAAATGATTTGCCGGATATATGGAAAAGTCAATTTATGATCTTCTACAAAATTGCCTTTAATATGAACAACATGGCTGAAAACTGTAATTACCCTACTGAATTTGTTGATAGTCTGCTTATTGAATTTTGAAGAATATTTACCCAGCGGTACATGTGATGATAATAGATCAAAGGCATATAAATTTCGCGCAAGGCCGTCCTCTTTACTTTGTAAAGAGCTTCTAAAGGAAGTAGCGGCTCCAGTCTAGGAAACCGAGATTAACGGCGTGGGGATCCGTTGCGCTGACCACCCGACACCCTCTATCCGCAAAAGTTGGCATTAACTTCGCCGACAAGAGACGGTCGCTCGGTCGGTATAGACCGCTTGCGGACTACAGGCCACGGAGTTTCTTTGGTAGTGTCTAAAACTACATGGCGTCTAATAATAGGATGAATAGCGAACAATGAACTAGATATATTTGGGAGGAAGTGGCCGTGGCCTAATCGGGAAACTACTCAGGCATTTCGCTAGAGGGACTGAGGGAAAGCACGAAAAACCTCAGTCAGGATAGCCGATGTCCTGGCCGAGGTTCGTGCCCAGCACGTCCCGAATACATTTCTAGAGCGAAGCTGCAACATCAACCCGGTCGTACTCTACTATCAGGGCGGCGTTAGATGGACACTGTTCGTAAGAACTGCGTCGCCCGTTCGGAGATATTCCTGACCTGTGGCCTGGCTTCAACGTATTGACCTGATAAACATACATAATTTTGTGGTGGACTTCCAATTTACATTCTCATAACAATCACTCCTTAGGGCGAGAGCACATCAAGGAAACTTAGTAAAACTCTAATTCAGAGTATGCAGTAAACAGAATAGCTAATTATATCTGAAATATGAGCGCTAGATTTAGTTGAACGCCCCTTGTCAACTATGTCAAAATTGTGCAGCTACTTGTGAATGTAGTTGGTTGAAGCACTATGCTACAAGCCGGAAAGTCGTGGGTACGAGTCCCAATGAGATTTTTTTTTTTCAATTTACCTGATGATTCCAGCCTCACTCTGGCCCTAGGATCGACTCAGCCACTAACAGAAATGAGTACTAGGAATATTACTGGGGGGTGAAGGGCGACCGACGCGTAAGGCTGACAAACTTACCACCATCTGTGAGCCGATTGTCTAGAGAATATATGGGAGCCTCAACGTCTCAAAAACCTACGGGCTTTCACGGCCTGTTACTGGGATAATTTTACTTTTTTTTTTATCTTTTACTGCTGAATGTGTTATATGGTTTGTACTTACTCAGTAAACCAGCCATGATAACTTTCCCTTCAGTTTTCAATTTGCTATTTCTAAGAGATTTTCAAAAGCTCTCCAAATCAAAATTACGAGTTTTGTAATTCTACTGCTATTTTGCCTCACACTGAATGAAGACAAACCAGAGAATGCCGCTTTTATACTCTGCTTTTCATTAAGCACTCTTATGGCGAGTCACAGGTTTATCTAGCAGGTGTAAAAATGTAAAGTTAAGTGCTATTGTGTTCATGAAGGACAATAAAGATAGGAGCCTGTATTCTTTTTTTAGGAACACTTGACATTCATATGACATAAATGGAAGAGTATGTGTTACTTTTGTGTCTTATATTTTGTATCTGGTAAGCAGTTTAATGTTTAAAGTTACTGGAATATTTTCTGACGTAATCTGATAACCAAACATGACAACAGTAGCTTTGTTCAACATAAATTTGTGTTAAGTACAGAAGTAGGTCTGTTTCTTTTGCATTTTTGAGATATCATTAGGTAAGCATTAAAATGTTTTGTAATAATTTATTGCTTCCTCTTTCTCTTCGATAATATTATCTTGTAGCAGTGCTTTTTAGTGTTGTTGGCAATTGTTCTCCTTCCTTAAAGCATTCATTAAGTAGAAGGGTTTACAATTGCCTTGAAACTGAACGTGGTGTATGTCTTATTAACGAACATTTTAGGATCCTAATACGGAGTACTATTTCGCATTAAAATCATGCAAACGTAGCCACATTTACTTAAAGGTGCCTTATTATAAACGATATTTATAATTGAAGCTGAGGTTTTCTTGACGGTTAAAAAATGAGTTAATTTAGGCTAGGAGTAAATATATAAATTAAAAGTTCTGGCCTGGAAAAATTGATGTCAAGGGATTCGAAACCACGATATTCTGTCCATCAAAGGGGACATATTTTATGGCACTAATTTTGTAACAGCTGACATCGAAGGTAGCAAGCAACAAGAAGTCGTTCCGTTTGCTTCAGATTATGTTAGTCCCGAAGAAATGTCCTCTATCGCTTCAGTACAAGTAATAGGGGCCCAAACGAGGAAGGCCACCTAGCAGGTCTGCCTTAATAGCATAGTTGGCCTAAGATTATTTGTTTCGAATACAGCCTTATCCAGACAGAAGTGCAGATGAAGATCTGCAGAAAGAAGGATCCTCAGCTATCACGGAGCTCAGAGGCGAAAGCCATTGGAAGATGATAGGAAAATGAACATTCGTTCACAACAGATTGTATGATGCGCTTAAGAAGAGACAACTCTTGCGTACATTTTAACTTTGTTGACAAACACACAGGGATTTAGTCGTAATTTTTTCGTAACACTAATTATTTTTGACGAATGAACAGGTGAGAAATTGAGACGTGTGAGATGTCAGTGATGGTGCCACGAAGCATGTAGTTTGGAAGAAGAAAAGATCTGCTATTTCGGTGCGAAGTTATTCATCAGTGTGTAAAGTGAAAAAGTAAAGGTATCCCTGTAACAGGCCGTGGAGGCCCATAGAGTTGTGAGATGTTGAGGTTCCCACATTATCTAGACAATCGGCTCATAGATGGCAGTAATCTTGTCAGCCCTACGCGCCGGCCGCCCTTCATCCCCAAGAACATTCCAAGAATATTTCTGGTACTCATTTCTGTTAAGAGGCTGAGTCGACCCCAGGGCCATAGTGAGGCTGGAATAATTAGATCAAATGATCTCATCGGGGATCTAAACAGTGACCTTCCGGATTGTAGTATAGTACCTCAACCAACTACGCTACCGCGTGCCCCTTCATCAGTGTGTATGTAAGCTAAATTTACTTCACTGTATATGTTTTATTTTATTACTATAGACGCACGGAAATTTATATTCATCTGAATTTGACAATATTTGCCCACGGTAATAAATTTTGTTAGAATATTTTTATATTTTTAAATATCCAGATTGATTCATACATGGGGATACTCTAAAAATATTCCATATTAGGAACCCTTAGAGAAAATATAATGAACTTGTTGCACTCTCTGTCAGTTTTTATATTTTTCTCCATAGGTTATCCAACGACGCTTTAAGTATCAAGACTATACAACTTTGGACGGTAGGATGACAGACGCATGGTGACGAATTGAAAAAAATTTCGAAGAAAGTGGTCTTGGTCTAATGTAGGTAGTATCCGGTATTTTCCCGGAGTTACTGAAGGAAACCACGAAATCAGAGCACTTACCGAATTACATTCTCGAGTTTTACTTCTAGACCAACCTGTCAGGCGTTTTATTTTTTCAAGCATATGGTTTAATTTTGATTCAAATTTGAATTTGAATTTATTTACGTTCCTTAGATCCAAGTACAGGTTTACACCATAGGATATGGAACAAGTCAAGTACAATATTAGTTTTTCTTGAAAAATTAACATTATAATACTGTAATTAATGCTAATATGCTAATTAACATAATACCGTATTATAATCTTATTAATTTTTCAAGTAAACTAGAGATAAGTTAAAGCTATCCTTTTAACAGGCCGTGGAGGCCCGTATGGTTGTGAGAAGTCGAGGTTGCCATATTTTTTTAACAATCAACTCACAGATGACGGTGAGGTTGTCAACCTAATCCTTGCAGCCTCACTATGGCCCTGGAATTGACTGAGTCTCTATCAGAAATGAGTACCAACAATCTTCCTGGGCGAAATGTTGGCCGGGGCGTAAGGCTGACCTCACCGTAATTTGTGAGCCGAGTGTATAGAAAATTAGGGAGCCTCGACGTCTCATAACTCAATGGGCCTTCACGGCCTGTTACAGGGGTAGCTTTATCTTTTACGGTCGAGATAGGAGCAGGCATAAGTAGAGGTCTTCGTATAGAGAGCTAGTTAAAATTATCGGATGTAAGTGAAAATTGAAGTGGGTCGGCACATTACTGTAAAATTCTCAAGTGCCGAATTTCGGTAATATCCATCCAGCCGTCCTGAAGTTCTGCGTGTGCAGCGAAAGAACGGATGGACGGAGCGATCACAGGGCTGGGAACGAGCGTAAAAATAAGTTGCTTTCTGTACACCACAGAGTTCCAGCACAAATCGGGCCCGAACTAATCATTTAATGACGGCCTGCCCCACAAGAAACATGTTCTGCAGGTCGAAAAGAATGACATGGTTGTACATGCAAGAATCTAGAGACGTAATTTTATCTGCAAGTTGTCAGCACAAGTAACAGGTTTCGTTTTTTCCTTGGCACTACAGCCCCAGTGGGCTTAGGCCTACCTCCATGAACTTCTCCGTTCACTTCGGTTTTTCTAGATCTTACACATTCGGTAGGACTCCTTGGGCGGGTGATCAGCTCGCCGCAAGGCCTTTACCTGTACACAAACACAGAAAAACGAACACACACAAACTAAACATCCATGCCCTGAGTGGGATTCGAACCCACGATCTCGGTTTCCAAGCGAGAGAAGACAGTACATGCCTCAGACCGCTCGGCTACCGTGACCGGCCAAGTAACAGAATATCTCGATGAATACAGTGCACGGCAATACTTTAGTATTACATATTATTACGCGTTAATTGAGTCATTAAATGTGTAATTACAGTATACGCCTCTTTTGCAACTTTCAGCTTCGAGTAGGCGAATATACCTTTCTTCTTGCGCGTACAGATCTTGACCATTCATTTAAGCCATTTCTCATTCTCTAATTGGGCTCTTAGTGCCCAGAGATTGGTGAACCTGACTCATAATGCATATTCTATTTCAGGCAATAGCCTGTTCGGACTGAACGTGAAATTTGGCCTGTCATAAAATGAACGGAGCTACAGGGCATTTGAAATTGAGAGAGAAAGAGGAATACCTAAACAAAACGAGAATTTCCTAAATAAGAACTTTGTTTTTAGTTTTGGCAATTAACTTTGTTTTGATTTTTAATTTAATATTATCTTGGTACTATTAAGCGAGCTTGGAAGGGAATTTACCATAGATGAAAGAAACAATTGGACCCTTTTCATAAACCATTTTAATTATAATACGAGAAAAAAGATAGACATGTAAATGAGAGACACAATATGAAAATGAAGCTTGGTTAATTAATTTATTGTAATATGAAGAGTCTCAACTAACTTATCATAGGACCCTAAGATGACGAAGATGGTGAAACCTTGAGTCATAAAATAACAAGAATTTTCTGACATATGAATAGGCAAATTTTGATATATGACTCTACTCCACGTAATCAACTATAGGCCTACTTCAACACACACAAAACTACCACATCCTTGGTCATCTGACAGCCTATGATAAACGAGTGTCTGATAATGAAGTAAATGTGTTTCATATGCTGATTTCCTAAAACAAAACACTGAGGCTATTTTCCATATTACAAATATATGCAAATATATCATGTTCAATGAACGTCAAGCCGCTGAAGGCCACCATAACTTTACGCTGAAAGCCACCATATCTTTAAACTTTACAACTACTCACACAGCAATGTTACTGACTAGCGAATGAAAGTAACTCTGATATCGGTACCGCATTACTTACTTACTCGTGGACCTGAGCCCTTCTTGATGAGCAGCCAATTCTGCAGCTACTCAAGAACTTCCCAGCATTTTATGGAACCCGAAGGTTCATTACCATGTTCACAAGAGCCCCCCACTGCTCCCTATCCTGAACCAGATCAATCCAATCCATACCACCCCATTCTATCTTTCTAAGATCCATTTTAATATTGTTCACTCACCTACGCCTTCGCCTTCCCAGTGGTCTCTTTCCTGCTGGCTTTCCCATATCCTATATGCATTCCTCGTCTCCCCCATTCGTGCTACATTCCTTGACCACCTCATCCTCCTTGATTTGATCATTCTAATTACACTTGGGAAGAGTACAAGTTATGAAGCTCCTCATTATGCAGTTTTCTCCAACCTCCTGTCACTTCATCCCTCTTCGGTCCAAATATTCTCCTCAACACCCTGTTCTCAAACACCCTCAGCCTATGTTCCTCCCTTAAAGTCAGAGACCAAGTTTCACACCTATACAGAACCACAGGCAAAATTATAGTTTTGTATATTCTAATTTTTATGTTTTTGGACAGCAGACGAGAAGACAAAAGGTTCTGGACTGAATGGTAGCAAGCATTACCCGAGGTCAATCTCCTCTTAATTTCCTCCTGAATCAGGTTTTG